ATCCGCCTGCTGCGGCATATGCGCCTTATGCTAGTCAGTTCGGTAACGCCGTTTATACGAACATCTCACCGTTGATCTATCAGAATAATTCTTGTTTATCGTCCAACTTCCACTGACTCACTCTCTTGTGCTTCCCGTCCACCCTCTATATGCCATTGATTACGACACTGAAAAATACTGATTTACCACATGGAATAAATTTATATCTTCGACAGTTTCACCTTATTCAGCTTCCTCCATTCATTCATGTGCTTTCCCTTCCGCTCCTGCGAAACGATCCGTGACCTACGCAGGTCGCCTTTCTATATCTTCTTCATAGTATGTAGTACTTTCAAACATTTCGCTTCTCGTTTGGTGTAAACATTTTTCTTTTTTCCGTCTCACTTTCTCTGTTCCGCTATTTTTGACCATTCCGTCATCTCCAACTTTTCACTCCGTGACCGTGTCCAATTTGTGTTCCTTTTTTGCCTGTGTTCACTGTTAACTTCAAATTTGTGTAAGCTTCTTCTGTGCAAACGATTATGTTGTACATATGATCATGCTTATGCATGCTTCACGGGGCTCCGTGAAATATACACTTATTTATTTATTTATTTATAACCCTGAACCAATCAGATTGTACGACGGGCGAAATTAAAGTCTTACACGAACCAATCATAAAAACAATTTGTGCAGTAAAACGAACGATCAATTCAAACAACACTTCAATACAGTTGAGAAGGGTGTATTAACGCCTGTAGATTCTTCTGTTTCGGCTAACTCTATTGTGCTTTCGTTGAAACGTGATTGTAAAACCCAGAATTTGTGGGGATTACCGTATCACAGTCAACAGATACTTAAAGCAAACCAGATGCTCAACCGCTGAACCAAGAGACACCCCATCAATTTAATGTTTTTCTTGTGTTCGACACGGTTGGTGAGCCGACACCAAGAGCCGGTTCCCAGAGTTTTATAAACGCCGTGAAGAACTCTCAGTAACTTGTGATGGAATATTATATCTCAATGACCGAAAAATCATTCCTCAATCTTTACGCCCCGCAGTGCTGAGAGACTTGCATCCGGGCCATCTCGGAATTGAGAAGATAAAATCACTTGCACGTTTGACTTGCTGGTGACCACAGCTTAACAGTAATTTGCGTCGAATGGCCATATCTATATTGATGTATTTCATTTTTACATATCTGGTGGATGTGATAATACACCTAAAATTTCTACCTTTCAGAAAAAAGCAGAACGAACGTTTGACGAGCAGTGTTGGAAGCCAAGGCAACCAGCTGACAACACAACGATCTGGACGCACGATTGACCTCAACCACTTCCGTCCTGTGCAAACTGAACCTGAACCCGAACGGGAGTCGCGCATAAGGAAGGTCGTTGAGCGCGCGGTTCAAAATTTTGCCGTGAGAAGGGAGAAACTTAGGATTTGAGAAGACGGGAAGCAGAAGGCAAATCGCGAAGTTACAAATTGTATCTATAACACGATGGAGATACTTGGATCAGGGAAAAGTGGGAACTGAAACACCCACTTCGGAAAATAACACGACGCTTAGTGGTAAGCGGCTGTGGGTTGGACCAACAGCCAGGTGTCTCACAGTGACGAAACTGTTTCTCGCAAGTGATTTGCCCTGTGTTTTTCCCTGGGTTAGTTTCACCTACCTTGAGGACCACTAGCTCACACCCTAGCTCTAAACTTGTGATGGGGTAGACCTTTTTTCTTTTACTATACTCCAATCCTTCAATAATAAGAAATAGGTATGGCCAAAGGTGCTTCACGCAAAAACCCTGCGAAACGAGGTGCTACTCACGTGTCTAAGCGAACAGACCGCTGTAGTAACCCTCAATGTACAAGAGGACTGGTAGCAGATGGCATCCAACGTGAAACGTGCTACGCATGGCTTCACCAGAATTGCGAGGAACTCCCACAGGACCTATATAACAAGTACTATGAGGATGAGAGGCTAATCTGGGCCTGCCTGCCTGGCATGCAGGGATGTAATACGCAGGATAAGGGCCACAAAGAGGGAATTAGAGGTAGAAACGTCAGAGATAAAGGGCCGACACGAAGAATCAATGTGGTATCTTCCCTGTGGCGGATACAGTAGACAACCTGGAATGGCCTCTTTAGATTTCCCTTGACAGTAATGAAAAGGATACATGAGCTGCAGTCCTTCGTCAGCCAATCGGTTTGCAATACGATCCTCAAATTTCTTAAAGAATGGAATATATTGCACGGGTAATCCGTCAAAATGAGTGATTTTACATCGCGGTAGATAGAGCTTACTCAATAAGAGGTCGAGCTTATCCATGTCCCTAATTGTGACGTTCTTGACCCCAGGAGACTTCGGACCTGTAGAACTATTATACTTCTCCCTATCAGAACAATCGGGATCGGTGATAGGGAGCTCAGGAGAACTACCTCCTACATGACAAGGTAATGGTATGGTTTCTACGTATTTAATCTTCGCTCCATGACGTAGTAACCCAGATGCTCTACGTTTAGCCTCCGCTGCTTTACGCACAGCGCTAGTTGCCTCAACCTAGAGTTGTGCACTCTCTAACTCCAACTTAATCTCAACATTAACATCAACGTCATCACAATCATGACGTTCATCGGACTTACTTGGGGAGGTGCACCGGCAGCCTCCGTCTGAGATTCATACTTGGAATTCTCCTGACTTGAGGATTCCATGGGATGATAGGAAAGACAAAGCACACAACAAAGAATGGATCGCAAAGAGAAAACAATTCTCCACAGGAAAGAGGATGTCGAAGCTTGAACGGATGTTCACGATTGCAAACTGCAATCGTCAATAAAACGCAGGTAACACAAAAAGTTCAATGTCACAATCCCAGTCACAGAGAGTAACATTCAGATATTCAGCCGTTCGAATTTTGAGCAATCCAAATACTGTTACGCCTGCTTGAGTTCGTAATTCTAATACGCGTAGGAGTAAACCAAATTTCGTGATCTGATTCGAACGAGCTTGATCAACAAGATAACGACCGATCCGGAACAGGAACGAACGATCTTTAACTGTCTCAACGAACGATCCCCATTGAATGAACGCAATAGGAACGAGAAGTGAGCACACAAATTCAACGAATAGACCACGATAATTTATACGATATCTATAAAAGGTCATAACCAAATAATACAAAAAATGTAAAACATACTTGGATGTATGCTCACCCAAGCAGAACGCAGGAATCAACAGAAACAGGGAGAAGGCTCAACCGAGCTGACAAAGCAATATGTCCGGTCCAACGTCAATAAATGTGAAATTGATACATTTATTATTTAAACAAACATGAAGTTACAGATTATAAGGAGTGGAAATTTTAAGATTTAAGCAGTAAAAACAAAGAGAAAAATTCTTTCAATTCATCAACGGTGCATTGGCCGCCTTTACGGGGAGCAAAAACAAAAAGTATAACAGTTAGCCCAGGGGTCCCAAACACAAAATAGCAAACCAACAACAGCGAATTGTCCTGCAAGATAACTGAATAGAAGCCATGAAGGATAAGGTGTCAACTTTGGAAAAAGTGTTCCACAATTTAGCCGAAACCCTACCCGACCTCCAGCGGACAAGTGAGTTGGCCTTGGGAAGACACAGGAATTTTGTTTTTCGAGGAGTTCCTCAACCCTTCATGAAGGAGGAGTGCATGAGGGACCAAGCCATGAAATATCATGTGGTGAAACTACTTAGGTGTGCCAACTTGCCAGGCAATGTGGCTATCAAAAGGACATTGCGTCTAGGAAAATGGCAGGCTAGCAGCAGCAGGGAAAGTGAACCCAGACCCGTCTTGGTTAAGCTCACCAACTCGAGACACAGGGAATGGTTCCTTGCTGCGGCTGACAAAATTAGGACTACCACAAAAAAGAGGTCTAACGGTACAACCTGACGACAGCGGAGGAGGCGGGGAAGAATCAGCCGCAGACCTACTAGCATCACCGGGCTTTAATACAGGGACAATAAGGCATCCACTACCGTCGGTAGAAAGGATACAATGGTCGCCTGACAGGTGCCTTTCACAAGATAACCCAGTTACAGAAGTGCGCCCAGGTACGACTTTGTTATCCACTAGCCGTGGAACATCACTGTCGGGCTTAAAAGCCCCAGAAAAACCCGGGGCTGTCGAGCAAAATACAGGTCCCACATGAAAGTGGACCAGAAAGGCAAAGCCCTCCGACCGAAAAACGGTCTGGTTGCGCGGACCTAGATTCCGAACGACACCACAACTCCTCTGATAGGGTACGTATCCAAGGCGGGTTGGAACTACTTGTCACCCATACTAATGCGGCGAGCATAGGGAACAAGTGGAATGAACTAAAGGTGCGCTCTCAGGGAGTAGATGTGATTGCCTTCACTGAAACATGGCTGTGACCCGAAGACAGCATAATAGCCCAATGCCCCACGGACTACATTGAAACCAGGGCTGGTCGGCAGGATGGTAGGGCCGGCGGTGGTGCCCTCCTGCTAGTGGGACAGCACTATGAGCAGTATGATAGGCCGCAGATGATCACACCAGACCTCCAGGTAGTGACGACCATCGTGAAATTGCCCTATTTAGAAATAGCCATCTTGTGCTTTTACCGCATCCCTACATCCTTACGCAGTGAAGATGAAACTCTGGTGGCTCCTCTCCGGGAGTTAGTCAAATCCCATAGAGGAATACTACTGCCCCTGAGGCTAACTTGGAGGACGACGCTGCCACAAGAGCCAGTTTCGGCGAATTCCTGGTAGGTGTGGCAGGTGAAAAAACTCTGGTCCAGCATGTCAACCAACAAATGCGCTGAAGAGAAGGGCAAACCCCATCGACCCTTGACCTTGTTATAGCTAGCTTCATGTCAGAGATTGAGAGTCTAGAGATCCAGAAACCGATTGGTAAGAACGATCACGGGTTCTTCAAGTTTTGTATGAGCCTAGGGGGGCAACCCGTACCCGATAAATATCGTCGCCAATGGCATCGAATAAACTCTCAGGATATTCAACAAAGGGCTGAAAGGCTTAGTTGGACGTTAGAGGTGGAGTTCGACACGGTAGCCGACCGATGGGATCTGGTTAAAAGTAATCTCCCAAGGCTTCAATCAGATGGCACCTCTCAGAAAGGAGGCATGGGACGCCCCGTGGTGGTGAATTTGTCTTAAGCGAGCGCTCAGCCGCAAAGGGGCAGCTTGGAAACGCTACCTGCAGAACAGAGGAAACAGATCTCTGTTGCACTACAAGGTGGAACGTCAACGAGCAACTCGCCTCCCAAACGAGTGTCGACAAGTGTACGAGATGCAACTGGCCCGGAATGCATGGAGGCATCCGAAGTCATACTTCAACTACTGGCGATCCAAAGCCCGGCTTCGAAGAGAGGTAGGGTGCATTACAAACGCACAGGGGGTGGGGAGAGAAACGACAGCAGCCGGAAAAGCAGAGGCATTATTGTGCTTTTTTCGGCAGGCATACCGTCAGGGTCCAGAAGTACAGGGACAGCAAGGGGCTAGAGTGCAGCCAACCACGACCATGGGTGATGACCCCATATGTGTCGACGAAGTCCAACGTAACCTCGAAGGACTATTAGCTACAAAGGCTGCAGGCCCTGACGGGATTCACCCAGCTGTACTGAAACCGTTAGCGGGATGGCTAGCAGTGCCCCTGAGCAACCTTTTCAGCGCCACCTTAGATACGGGTAGACTGCCAGAGGATTGGCTACTGGCAACCGTTATCCCAGTCCGCAAGGGGAGAGATAGAGAATCGTGCTCAAATTACCGACCTGTGAGCCTGACCTCAGTGGTAATAAAAGTGATGGAGAAAATCCTTCGCGACAGGATCACCCACCATCTCGTCATTAATGGTCTGCTCACCGCAAATCAACACGAATTCATCAGGAAACGGCCATGTCTGTTTGATCTGCTGTGCTTCTCAGACGAAGTGACAAACCGCATTCATCGCAGTGAACGGGTAGAGGTTTGCTACCTCGACTTCACCAAGGCCTTCGACTCGGCGAACCACCGACTGCTCTTACTGAAACTAAGCTGGTTTAGAATCACCCCTAGGGTGATGGAGTGGATTGCGAGATGTGTGACAAGCCAGAGTTTCGAAATTGGTGTAGCCAAATACAGGTCACAAGGAAGATTGGTTCATAGTAGGGTCCCGCAGGGGTCCGTCCTAGGCCCACTCCTCTTTTTGCTGTGCATAAACAACCTCAGCAGGGACCTCGAAAACCCCTGCTTCAAGTTCGCTGAGGATGTGGAGATCGTCAGGTCCGCTCCAGGTGAGTCTATGCAGTGAGACTTAGATAGGATTCAGGAACGGTCGGAGGTATGGGACCTTCCTCTAAATGCCCGTAAGTGCCAGCACCTCACTGGAGAAGGAGGGCATCATGGTGGGAAATTCCGAGGTCCCCCTGGACAGGATATCGAAATTGCCCCAGTGACCTCTACGCGAGACTTAGGAGTGAGTATGACCTCAGAATTCCTTCCCATTGCAGTGTCGGGGTGCTGTAAAGAAAGCATCTGGAGTTCTATATCAGTTCCGACGTGCAACAGGGTCTAGGAGGCTGGATGTCCTCTGACCACTCTATAAAGCGTTCGCACGATCACACCTCGAATATTGTTTTCAGACGTGGAGCCCGTTCTTGGTCAGAGATGCCAAAGTGCTGGAGAAGATTCAAAGGCGCTCCACGAGGTGGTTTGGCGGGATAAGAGAGCTACCGTATGAGAGGAGACTGGAGGTGCTAAACATCTTCTCATTGGAGAGACGGAGGCGTCGAGGCGATCTCATAGAGATGTTTAAGATCCTTAAATGGATCACAGATATAAGAGGTAGTTCCCAGGAGCTTCTGAAGCTAAGTGAAACCAACTCACTCCGAGAGCACGCACTGAAACTGGCAAAGGATAGGGTGAATTATCGACGGAGGGCCACATCCTTTCCAGTTCAAGTCATGAATGACTGGAACAAACTGCCAAAGGAAGCCATAGCAGCCATCTCATTAGCTGAATTAAAACACTTTTTGGATATCTTATGGGGTAGCTTGTTCGTCGGAGGAGAGTAAACGTATCAAGCGCCAGAAGCCCGTCTCCCCCCTCTCTTCATCCCAATGGCCCTCTTAACCCCCACTTCCACTTTCTCTCTTCACCTCTCTAACAAAACCTCTGACTCTTCATAACACACAACCTTGCGGTTAGTTGGCTCCAAGTTGAAACTTTTGACGTGCTCTCCTTGAAAAGCTACTAAATATCCATTGTGGTATATCACTCGTTTTTGTGCACCTTTACACATTTGTTCTACTCATTTCATAAAAGGGAACTTAGAAATCTGAGTTTCTCGCATTTGACAGAACTAGAAAGTGTTCTCCCAATCTTTGTGTTTTCTTTGACAAACCTATTTCTTTCTGAACTGCAAGTTTCATCTCCTCACCTCATACCATCTACTCTGCTTCATAGCCGACGTAGCCCTGAAGAGTCGGATAAGAGTACTCTCCCCATGCGGTATAGTCCCTCAGACATAGATGCTGACGCCCTTAGAATGTGTCCCAACGAAACCATTAAAGAGAACCACCCATCCGCACAAGAACGAGCAGCAAAATCACACGCGGAGGATGCAGCAGAAATGAAGGCCCACATTTCACGACTCGAACAACAGCTCTCGGAGCTTAGGTGGCTCATTCGCAATGAGCTCCAAACAACCAAGGCCGCCT